TAAAAATTTGTTGGGTGCTCAAATATACATTTATGTATGCTGATATGTTTATAATAACATAAACAAGCATCAATATATTAGCAATGAAATTGCACCTTAATGTAGTCTAGAAAAATCCAAAACCCAATAATCTTCCACAAACTAAAACTCCGCAACTTAAATCCTAAAAAAATCATAAACTGGCCCGAGAGCAGAACTTTACATAACAACATAGCAACAATCTTCACACGGCCCATCAGTATAGCGGGAATGTTCGCTCCTGTCGACCCGCCATCGTAAAGGAACCTTAGATCCATGGTGCCGCATCTGAAGTCGGACGGAGCAGTGAACAACAAACATATCCGGTTGTACCGTGTTCAAGGTACAACCTGTTGTACAATATAATTTGCCTTTTTGTTTCTTTTTCTTTTTTCTTTTCTTCCCTCTTGCTTCTCTCTCCTGCTCCAACCTTTCTCCGGCATACCCACATCTGTAAGTGTTGGGACCAGACTCAATGAGAATCATACAATATAAACTTGAATAGAGAAGATATAAAATTATATTCAATACCAAACAATGATTTCTGTGTGAATTGTGTACATGGTACGAATATCGCTTGTTGCAGTGGCTCTCTTCTCTTGATCGTTTATTGATGCCACTCTTTTTTTCTTATAATTTTCTTAACTTATGTTTATGTATGTTAGCCTCCATATATACATATATTATAAGGGACTAACATACGTATAACATAATAAAACAGGCCCAGATTCATATCTGATCAGGCCTAACTAACTAGTACAATTAATGTACAAATATAAAGATAATAAATATGATTGGACATAATAAATATGTTCTAACAAATTTAACATACACATATAATACAATAGTCAATACTCAATACTTCAATAGTCAAATTACTCAAATACGGAGTACTAGTTAATACTCAATAATACACTTTACGTACACTTCACTGTTATCAAAGCTGAAGTATACAGAGTTTTATTTTAGGGGACATTGGGCGGTGAAGTACGCGTAGCATATTATTTACTTTGAGGTGACCGGAGTTCGATGGGCAAAGTATATGGGGGCATTTGCATTTTTTTATTGGGGGCAATTCTATGCATTAATTTTTTTCTAATACACTTTACGTACACTTCACTGTTATCAAAGTTGAAGTATACATAGTTTTATTTTAGGGGACATTGGACCGTGAAGTACACGTAGCATATTATTTACTTTGAGGTGACCGGAGTTTGATGGGCAAAGTATATGAGGGCATTTACATTTTTTTATTGGGGGCAATTCTATGTACTATTTTTTTTTTCTAATACTCTGGGTATAATGTAGGGGATTATTGGGAGTTTATTATTGGATGTATAATATAGCTATGTTGTAAAAACCGGATCGGAGAGTGGTCCGGAGGGATAACTGGATCACGAGTCAACCCGGACCCGGCGGGTCAGCCCGGTCAACAACCGAAAAACCTGGTCAACACACACACAAACACATATATAAGATTAAATTAATAAATAAATATCTTAGTCCTTCATAATTTAATAATGATAAAACAATGTAATCCAATTAAAAAATCATTATTCTAAAGTTGGTTTTACCAAAAGCACAAACATGACATCAATTACTTGCAATATCTTAAAAGAATATTATAAAAATATATTTGAACTTATAATTGGAAAATGGGAGAACTATCAAATAAGCCCTTGAATTTTCATAAAAAGTGCAAATAAGCCCTTTTACAGGAAGCTTTGTCCGGCTGTCACCATTTGGGGCGGTTTCTGGTAGAATTTTTTGATGTTTTTTTTTGAAAATCTTCTTCATTAAGTCGAGTTTACCCATACCACATTTCAGCTAAAATTTCAATCGAGAGGGAAGTCAAATAATTTTCAGAAATATAACTGCACAGTTATATTCAGAAATTCATTTGACTGCCTTCCCGATTGAAGTTTTAGCTGAAATTTGGTGTGAGTAAACTAGACTTAATGAAGAAGATGATCCAAAAAATTCATCAAAAAAATCCGCCGGAAACCGCCCCAAATAACGACTGCCGTAAAGAGTCTCCTATAAAAGGACTTATTTGCACTTTTAATGAAAGTTCAATGGCTTATTTGGTAGTTCTCCCTTATAAAATTATATACATATATGGGAGGTGTAATATCAGCATCAGTGTGTATGCATTATTATTGTTAGTATGAATTGTTTAATTAACTAATTAATTACTCCGTAACATTTATTAAAACTAATGTAGCTTGAAATGGTTGGTCTTATATTAATTAAAATAATAGCAAAGTTACATATTGTATCAACGTAATACTTGGAGAGTGGAGAGCTGGCCATGTATGTTCCCAGGTGACGCGGGTTCGAATCCCTCCGCGTGATGCATGGCCCAAATTTCGGTTTTTTGAAGAATTTCCGGGTTTCTCTGAGGTAGGCGGTTCTGAGTTCGTCCCGGTTTTATCCGAGTTAGTGGGGTTTTCCGGTTTTCATCAAGTTAGCGGGTTGAAGGTCAAACGGACCAGATTTGGAGTTGGGTCGCCGGGTTCCGGGTCGACCCGCTTGTTCCCGTTCGGGTGTTATAACATACTTCCTCCGTCTCGAAATAATCGTCCTGTTTTGACCTTCACACAGATTAAGAAAACAAAGTTGACTTCACACTGTAGCGACATTGTTTGGCACTGTAGCGACACTGTTTGACACTGTTTTGTATAGATTTGTTTATCAAATAAGGAAAGGAAACAATTATTTCGGGACGGACCGAAAAGGAAAGCAGGACAATTATTTCGGGACGGAGAGAGTAGTAATATAGGGGATTATTGGGAGTGTTTTTGTTTTTTTTTTTGTAATTTAAAGACCTTTTTTACACTTTTCAGCAAAATAATTGTTGGAAAAGATTTCACCGGTACTTGTTGAATTTTCTACAACAAAGTGTACTTGTGGAAAAGTCCTTTAGTTGTACATATTTATTACTTCCTTCGTCTAATTTTAATTAGTCAAACTTGACTTTTCAATTCAATGATGGCTAACGTTGACTGATTATATATTTATATAGAGAAAGAATTAATAATATGAAAATGGTACAAAAATGTTTTATAAAAATACTACTAGTATCATAAAAGTATAAAATCATTAAATTTTGTATAAATATATTAGTTTACATAATTGGTCAAAGTTTACCACCTTTGACTGGAAATTTCATAGATGACTAAGTAAATTGGGACGAATGTAGTAGTTAAAAGACCAAATACGCAATCCAGTAAAGTTATAGAACTAATAACAGACAAAGTTGAACTGAAGCCATGAGACTAAATTTTCAAATCTCTGTAACTATTTATACTATTATATTTGAGTTAAATAAGTCTTGTGTTAGAAACAAAATACTGAGTATAATTTGTCCTATTAGTGAATTTGGTTAACATTTTACCCCAATCACGGGTAGTTTCCATTCTTTAATCCTTGATTAAATGACATAACTTGTGATAATAAAAAATGAATTGAGGTAATAGAACTCATTAATAAAAAAGGAAGTGAGGATATATAACACATTACCTACATATATACTTGAGGTAAATGTTATATATGCATGGTATTCCATAAATAAGTGACCTTTTCACAGATTAATGCTAATTGAATACTGAGTATATAATTATGAAAACAAAGTTACTATGCGATTAAAAATAATTCTCAAAATAATGTTGATAAACCTAGTTAGATAAATCTGACACATGAAGTGATGTCTTACATAAAATGAAGTTAGTGGAATGCAAGGCACAAGCTAGGGTGCAACTTAAAGATGGTGCCTTTAAATTTTTTAAAAAAAAACTGTTATTTAAATCACTATAAACATTTTTATTTTTGCTCCAATTTATATAAGAAATATATCAACATTCATAACTTTTTGTGATATTTCGTATGACATCAATATTGCATATATAACTTTTCTTTTAAATCTGAACACCATATGGCATCTAATTGAAATATCAAAATTCAAAATTTCATCTTCAAAAGAAATTTCTTTTCCACTGGACCAATGCTACGCTAAAAATATATATCAAAATTATAATTTTTTATGATATTTCATGTGACACCAATATTGCATATATTATTTTAATAAAGAATCTGAAGATCATATGATGTCCAATTGAAACATAAAATTCAAAATTTTATCTACACTTGAAATCTTATCTTCAAATTCATATATATGCAATATTGGTGTCATATGAAAGATGTATTTTGTTGTTTTTTTAGTCTAAGCTTGGTTATGTGAGAGAAATTTTTATTGGAGAAAAAATTTCGGGAACTATCAAATTGGTCCTCATACTATCACAAAAAAGTCAATTAGGTCCTCGCACTTTAAAAAATCAATCAAATCATAAACTTTGTAAAAACGTTCAATTGAATCCATTTGCTCGTTACTTGTCATGTCAGCAGGTCACCTAATGACGTGACACACATGTGGCAATGAATTGTATGTGCATATGAGACAAAATACACTTGCCGTGTAAGCCAACATGTACAAGTAGCATTTTTTTACGTAATTAAGTTGCCACTTCATGTGGCGGCTTTGTCTAATTATTATGGTTCTGGCCAAGAGTGTTTTGGGATTTTTTTAACCCAACCCTGTATTCGTAATTAATAATTTAATTAACATTACTTTGAGTAAAAAATCTAAATAAGTGAGACAACGTACCATGTTTACAATACTCTTATTTGGTTCAAATCATAAATTATTCACCATTTCACCTACTATTTTTTTGTTTATACTTAAATTAATTTAATATTTTTAATTTGTAAATGTGGTCTATGCCAACAAGACATCGTACTAAAGAATTTGCCTAAACCAACCATTCCAGCTCACTGGGTGGAAGGTTACCGTGTTGTAGCGGAGGTCTCGGGTTCGAATCTCGTTAGTCACATTTAGGGGAGCGTAAGCCCGGACACCTGGATTATCAATAAAAAAAACTAAAGAATTTGCCTATATTTAATTAGAGAACCGTACCCAGAGAATATAATATTAATGCCATCTCTTTAAAATATAATTCAAATATAAAGCAGGGTCACAACTCACAAATATATAACTCGGTCAATAGCAAACATACATCAGAAAAACATGCACTTTAATTACTTTGTTTCTACACAATAGTGAAAGAAATAGACATTGAATGATAATAGGGGTTATCCTGTGTGATTATAGTGGAGGGGAAGTTATCATGATTCACAGCATCAGGAAAGCCCTGTGTCTCCAAGCACACACCCGCATAAGCCTGGTAAAGTGCTCCCTCTTTTCCTTTCCTGTCCTTCAAGCTGTTAGCTGTGAAGAGCTGAACTCCTGGCGCAGTTGCGTCCAGCTTCATCTTTATCCCCGACTTTTCATCGTACAAAATCGCCACTTTCTTCATCCTATGTTTCTCACTTTCCTTGTACCCATCCACTGCATAGTTGATATCGAAACCGCGCACCGACCCGGCTTTCCTTGGCTCGAGCAGCTTTTCGAGCCGTGTCCCGATCTTAACGGGTTTCAAAAAATCGTAGGGTGTGTTGCGGATCGTTGAGAAGGTACCGTCCGGAACTAGGTCTTCGTCCACATTGGTGATCTTAGAAGCAAATAGTTGAAGCTGTTGAGATGAAATATTGCCACTCTTATGCCCTCCTAGGTTCCAGTATACGTGTGTGGCCATATTCACTGGAGTGTCTTTGTTCAGAGTTTTGGCAGTCATGTTTATACTCAACTGGTAATTGTCATTTATACTATAGCTCACAGTCGCTATAACATCCCCAGGAAAACCTACATGCATTAATCCGTGGATATGAGTAAATACGTTTTGAAATTTCAAAATAAGACATTCATGTTTTTATTTCCTTAATGGGAGTAATTTAAGACAAATTTGAAAAAAAGCTGACATGTTTAAAGCATGTTAATGATAAACTTGGCAGAAATTACTCTTATTTAGAGAATAAAACATGAAGGTCTTATTTTGAAATTTCAAAACGTTTTTACTCTTATTTAGGGAATTTTAATTTCCCTATCATTTAGCAATAAAATAACCTGCCTTTATTAATTTTCTAATTCACTTAGCACCTAAAACTAATTATTCCATCACTACATCCATCTCAATCTAGACAGTTTGAAATTCATGGGATATACTTGTACTACGTATTATATAGTACTCCCTCTGTCCCTCTGTTATTGTCTCATTGCGGTTTACGATGCTTGACCGACGATAAAGCAAACAGATCCCTGTCCGCACTCAAATTATTTTTAGAAAAAGAAAATTACATATTCAGAAACTACATTAAAAGATTTACAAACTCGCAAAAACCAGAATCAAATTTGATAAAAATTTGATACATAAAGTAAGAGATTAAGAGTGATTTGTGTTGATCAAGTGAATAGGAAATGAGACAATAACAGAGGGCGGAGGGAGTACTATATTGCATGGGAATGTGAGGAAACGGGATGAAATGCCATATTTTAATAGAAAAATTGACGCTAGGAGAGTTTTAGTAATGAAAACCTACTATCTCATCAGAGTTTTCGTGACAGAAAATCTATTGACAAAATGTATAAAGTTATTATGACCGTTCTGGTGTTGTCACTAAAAAATACTCCATGCGTCCCTTAAAACTTTGTATCTTTCCTTTTTGGTACGTCCCAAAAAACTTTGTCACTTTTCCTTTTAATCAATTATTTTGTGGTTTCTGTTATTTCTTTCTCCTCTGCACAAACCTCAACCACACAATTTTTTACTTTATTATTCTCCGTGTCGATCAACTTTGACAACGTTTTAAGGGACGAAGGTAGTACAAGTATTATGGTAGTTTATAATCCAATCACGATATACAAAAAGTTACATATTTACCCACTATATTTATTTTAGTCTTTCATACTTCATGTATAAATTTCATATCAATATATTCTAAAAATACTTGTATCTTAAATATTGATTTAGATGTCAATCATGTCATAAGAAACCAACCTAAACGGCTAAACTGGGCATGATGTGCCATATTGAGTGGGAGAGATAGAGTAGAGTACGTACAGTATTAAAACATTACGTATGAGTGGGCAGCCGCGTACCTTGATCACCATTAGTGCTGTTATATGTGAAGGTAATATATGGGCATGAACCTGTCGGCTTGTGCTTTGCCACCTCCCAAACAACTCTACTAAATCCCATAAAGCCACCTACATTGAAATCAGATTCCCATTATTACTAATATGTTAATTAATTTTGTTAAAATTATCTCATTTTTCCTTTCGTTCCATTAAGAATTTATCATTGCCTTGCCCATATCAATTGTTACTCAAAGTCCAACTTACTTTAGTGTCCGTTTGGTAGCCATGTTTTTTGTCTTTTCAGGCTTATAAGCCAACTTTTTCACCAAACACGTGACTTTTGGTTTTACGTGCTGAATTGTGTAATAATAAGAAAAAATAAGGTTGTAGTTACTTTTCCGGCTGTATTGGCTAAAGTTACTGTAGAGGGCTATTTTAGCTATTTTTTCATATAATATTTTCTTTATTTTATTAATAAAATGTACTTTAAATTATTATTTTTCACAAATCAGCCTCATCAACCAGAACTTCATAAACTTCACCAGAATCAACCAGTACTGCCGATTTGGCTATTTTTAGTCTTACCGAGTATTATACGAGTTACGTTCAATAACATTCGCATAAACTTACTTTTTAATAACTGTATGAATTGGTCATGCATGTACCAAAGACGGTATATATTGTGTATGAGTGTATTAATTCATTCAAAATCTACTACTCCTACGTAATGTTTTGCGTTATATTTTTTGTGCATGGGATTGAATTTGGGTACATACCATGGGCGGAGTTGTTGCCGCTGTTACGAGTAAGGTTGTAGCGGATTCTATTTAAAAAGAACTCAGCATTTTTAATCCTGTTGGCCACCCTTCCAAGTGTGGCCCCAAAGTTTGATCTGTTATTACTCTGCAACCATTTATCAATCACAATTCAAAAATTACTCCGACAAAAACTGTTACTTACCACTTGGTGTTAATTAAATTTAGAGACAACTATCAAATAAGCCCTCAAACTTTCATAAAAAGTGCAAATAAGCCCTTTTACAGGAGGTTTTGTCCGTCTGTCACTATTTGGGGTGGTTTTCGGTGGAATTTTTTGATGAATTTTTTTTAGCATCTTCTTCATTAAGTCTAGTTTACTCATACCAAATTTCGGCTAAAAATTCAATAGAGAAGGAAGTCAAATGATTTTCTGAAATATATTGCGCTGTCTAACTGCGCAGTTATCTTCAAAAATTCATTTGACTGTCTTCCCAATTGAATGTTTAGCTGAAATTTGGTATGAATAAACTAGACTTAATGAAGAAGATACTCAAAAAATTTCATCAAAAAATTCCAGCGAAAACCGCCCCAAATGGCGACGGCCGGACAGAGCCTCCTTTAAAAGGGCTTATTTGCACTTTTTATGAAAGTTCGAGGACTTATTTGATAGTTCTCCCTTAAATTTAAATATATTCCGTATTCACTAATGCATATATACAAAGCCCTGTTTAATTACATTTTGACAAAAATCCATTATTTTATACGAAGTAAATCCAATCTTCGCGAGTGCACGAATTAAAATCAAGGTATTCTTAGAATATCATGACGTTTCTCACTTTCTTGGAGTGTTTGGATCTGTTTCTTAAAATTGCTTGTAATCTTACAGAGTGCATAAACATATATTGAAGTGTTTGGATAAAGGTGGGGAGAAATACTCCAAATAGCTCCTAAAAAGAGTTTTGAAAAGGTGGGGCGGGCAACTTCTCATTCTACTTCAATACGATTACTTTTAAAAAAGAAACAAAAACGAAATCAACTCAAAACACTCATTTATTGTGTAGTCAATCAAATTAATGCACTGTTAGCAAGATTTTAATTCTTAAATCCCAAATTTTCCATCTAAATCCTATTTTTCTTTTTGTATTTTGAATGGAACGTGAAAGATGTCTTTATTTATTTGAACAAATAAGTACGATTAACAAACATACAAACATATAAGCATGTCTTATCTTGTTTCGGTCCATATGTGTCAAAAGTTTCTATATTTCCCGTTTTTTTGGCAACATATTTCCGTAATGTAAAACTCTTTATAGTGCTTTTTTATGCCAAAAGTCACGAATTTGCCGAAAATCAGTGAAAGTTGGCGTGATCCACAAGATTAATAGGAATGTGACTTGCTAAAATAAAACTTAAATATGGTTTAAAATTTTTACATAGCTAGCAATAATGTCAAAACTTTGAGTAAGGATGTTTTTACTTGGACTGATATTTTCTGATCTGATCTAATTTGGTCTGATCTGGTAAGTGTCTGGTCTCTGAATATTTTATAACAATCCAAGTTTGGTCTGATCAGGTCTGATCTAATCTGATTTGGTCTGGGCAGTTTGATCTAGTACTCAAAACAGTTCAAGTAAAAGCATCCTAAATGTGAAACATTTGAAGTAAATGTAAAATAGTTATTAAATTCGATCTAGATAATGTTCCAAAATACTAGTACCGCGAACTATTTAAATTTATGAAATACAAAATCTAAATATAAATACAAAATGAAATTAAGTTCAAATATTTTAAAATTTTCCTATAAATTCAAATATTATACTTTACAAATATAATATAATAAAATAAAATTAAAATATGAACTACTAACATTGCTATCTTATTTTGAAACATTAAGATAAATAATAAGTCTTGTTTAAAAAAAGTCTTGTTTTAATCATCGGCCTTTAATATTATGTATTCATCCACACATATGTCAAATCTTGATGAAAATATATGGTTAATTTTTTAAAGGGAAAGATAATAAAAATACCCCAAACTTTGAAGGGGTGTGAGATAAATACACCAAACTTGTATATGTAATTTAAATACCTCAAACTTTATATAAAAAGTTATTTTCACACCATTATCATGTATTATTTCTTTCAAAAATGTAAATTTTTTGGGTTAATTGCATAATTTAAAATAGCAAATTAAAAGTGTTGCAATTACATAGATTTGGGATTACATTATTTATTTCTCAATGGAAAATTAGAATGTTAATTGTGTCTTCATGAATTCTAAAATATATTAGATTATGCAATCAACACCATAAACTTACATTTTAAAAAGAAATAATATTTGACTATGGTGCTAAAATAACTTTTTATATAAAGTTTGGGGTATTTAAATTACATATGCAAGTTTGGGGTGTTCATCTCACACCCCTTCAAAGTTTGGGGTATTTTATTTATTTTTCCCTTTTTTAAAAAAGCTAACTATTAACAGAAAAAATATAATTAATTTTACTATTATATATCTTAAACTATAAGGTAGGGAAGTCTAAACCCTAGTGAGAGCTCCGACAATTTCGATCGTTGATGGTCGTTGCAGCAGCATGGGCCTCCCCGGCGGGGGGGTCGGGGACGGCAGTCCGTTCTTTTGCGGAGGTTCTGGCAGAGAACAAAGAGGTCCCGATCAAGGTGCCCTTTCGTCACAAGGGCATGCCGGCAGTACGTTTCTCGGAGGAAGAAGTTTCAGCTTCGGCGGAGCAACATAAATTCGCGTTGGTGGGGTCTTTTGTTAGAGGTAGGCCAGCTATGGCAACTCTACGTCAAGAATTCGAAAAAATTGGCTTCGCTGACTCTTTATCGTTAGGGTTACTTGATCAAAGGCACATTTTGCTCAAGTTTGGTTTGGAGGAGGATTTCCAACGATGTTGGCTCAAGCAAACATGGATTATACGTGGCTTCAGAATGAGAATTTCTAGGTGGACTCCGGACTTCCGGCCAGATGTGGAGTCCCCTATCATCCTAGTTTGGGTAACTTTTGATGGATTACCATTGCACCTTCATGTTAAGAGGGCGTTTTTTTCTATTGCCGGAATGGTTGGTAAACCTCTCATGGTGGATGCAGCAATTGCCGTTTTTTCGTGACCTTCTACAACAAAGGTATGTGTTGAACTTGACCTATTACAAGATATTCCGTCAAATGTTTTGATCATGCATGGGAATAAGGAGATTATTCAACCGGTATCGTACGAAGATCTCCCGAAATATTGTGTGAAATGTAAACGGATTAGACACAACAAAGATGAATGTGGGATATCAAAGCAACGCTTGGGGGGTGGAATTAATCAAGTGGTTACTCGACCTCCACCAAGAAAATAAACAGTCATCATGGCTCCCAAAGCTCCAGAACAGTGAGTTCAAGTCACTCGCAAACACAAAGGAAAAGAAAAAGTTAAGGATGTTGAAGCACCTGAGTCCTCAAAGGCAAACAAAGGGAAGAGTTTGGAGAATAACATGAGTGAAGAGCAACGGGGAGAAGGAGTGTAGCAAACTAAGATGATTTCAGAGATTGACGTTAACGAGGAGGTCACAGATAAATCATCTCCGGAGACAGTCCAAGAGGGTGAGGATACCCAAAAGGGTATGGAAAAATCAGAGGCTTTGGGTGATATTATAAATGAGAAAATCAAATCTACTACTGATATGATGTCACGAAGCTCATATCATTTGAAGAAGGAGAAACTATGGATGGTGAGGACAACGAACTAGTGGAATGCGAGGGAATGGTATCGGAAGGTGAACCTGTTCTCTTAGAAGATCTTACTAAGGAGCATTGGAAATTAGTTTGTGGAGAGTTGCAAGGAAAAGTTGCTTTGATTGAAAAAGATCAAGTGGAGGCATTAGGAGTGGTGGGAAGGAAAAAAGTCAAAGAAGCTCCACCTCGTTCGGTTACAACAAGGCTAGCCGCTAAGAGGCACTCAAAGGAATCATCTTTGTCGGTTTCCTTGTGAAGCTTTTTACGTGGAATGTGTGTTGCATCGCCTCTTCGTACCCGAGGCTACGTGAACTTATTAGGCCCTACTCTCTTGACTTTATTACTATAATTGAGCCAATGGTGAGCCCTGATAAGGGCATGTATTACATGCATAATTTGGGTTTTTCGAATATCTTTATGGAGTCAACTAATAAAATCTAGGTGATGTGGAATACGAGATCTTTTGAGGTTAGTAATATTCAGGAGATGGACCAATTTGTTTTAATCAAAATGAAGTATTTGCCGTTAGATTATTCTTTTATGTTCTCCCCAGTTTATGGTTTGCATACGCGATGAAAAGGGCTAGATTATGGGCTGGCATGATCAATTTTGCGCATAATGATACGTCAGACTGGATATTAGGGGGAGACTTTAATGTAGTCGCTGCTTTATCTGATTATAAAGGTCCCTCTACATCGGCTATAAATGATATGAAAGACTTTGGGGAGTGTATTGAGAATTGTGAGCTTATTCAGTTGCCTACTATGGGTTCAGACTATACATGGATTGGGGTGAGATCTAATGGAAGAATTTGGGAGAAGCTGGATAGATACCTTGTGAATTCTAGTTTTCTTTCCAAGTTTGGGATAGTTAAGACGCAACACTTGAGTAGAACCTCCTCGGATCATTGCCTTATTCTTCTAATTTGCGAGGATATTTCAGCGAATGGACCGAAGCATTTTCGTTTTCAGGATATGTGGTTAACTCATGATGGGTTCTTACCTTTTGTTTTTGACAAATGGGCTACTTATCCTACTGTAGGTGGAATGAGAGGTTTACATGATAATCTTTGAATGCTAAAGGAGGATATAGGGCGGTGGAATAAAGAGGTGTTTGGCAATATATTCAGCGAAGTGACCAAGTTAGAAGAGGCAGCAATTGAAGCAGAAAAAAAATTCGAAGAAAATCCTACAGAGTTGTCCAGAGCTTCTTGTCATAAAAAACAGGCTGAGTTATTAATGAGAGTTAAGCAATGTGACATATATTGGAAGCAAAAAGCAAATGTGAAGTGGATGAGAGAAGGGGATGCTAACACCCATTTCTTTCATGAAAATGTTAAGGATAAAATTCATAGGCAGAGAATTATGGCTATAAAAAAACAAAATGGAGATTGGTGTTATGAGCAAAATGAAATTGGTGAAGAAGCAGTGCAATATTTTTCACATTTATACCAAGAGGAAGACACTAGTTCATTTGATGATGTCCTTTGTAACATTCCTAAGATATTAGATGGACTGGATAATAATTTGCGCACTGAGCTTCCTGAGGAAACTGAGATTAAGGAGGCAGTTTGGAGTTTACATAAGGACGCATCTCCTGGTCCGATCCAGACGGGTTTGGAGGAAGTTTTTATAGGAGTTGTTGGGATATCATTGAACTCGATGTGTTGATGGCAGTTAAAGAGTTCTTTTTAGGGTTTCCTATCCCTAAAAGAGTTAATAGTGTCAACATGATACTAATTCCTAAAAAAGAATCCTCTCTTTTGTTGATTTTCATCCTATATACCTATCTTCCTTTTTTAGTAAGGTTAATACTCACAGAATACTAAATATTTCTAATGTGTTGGGTATGAAAGAAGCTAAGTTGCCTATCAAATATTTGGGAGTTAAACTTCATAAGGGAATCACCTGCATAACCCACTGTCAGGGGATTTTGGATGTTTTTTTTATAGTAAACTGGCTTCTTGACTGAAAAGGTTGTTATCACAAGGGAGAGATTAGTCTTGATCAAGAGTGTGCTCAACTCTATTCCACTACGTCTTCTAGTTGTAACTAATTTCCCCAGGTCAGTTCATAGACTGATAAATAAGAAGGTGGCAGATTTCTTTTGGGGGATTGATCACAATAAACCCAAAGGTCCCAAACATCATTGGATAAAGTTCAAAAAACTTTGTAAGCCGGTTGATTATGATGGGGTAGGAATCAGGTCCCTTGGAGACTCTCAAAAGATTGCCTCAATGAAAATTTGGTGGGAGTTTCAACAAAGTCAGTCTATGTGGGCAGATCTCATGAGAAAGAAATATGGGAGGCATGTGATGGGTGAGGTCAAGCCTACTGACTCCCCAGTGTGGAGAAGAATTTGCCTCATCCATGAGGAGGCTGAGGCTTTAGTGGTCAGGGGTCCTAACATTATAAGCTTGAAATACTCTAGAGATGGTAAATTTACAACATAAATAGCTTATCAGGCTCTTTGGCCTCAAAGGGGGAGGGCTCTTTCTAATACTAATATTTGGCACCCTAAATAGATGCCAAAAATTAGGGTGTTTTGTGGAGACTTTGGCATAAGGGGTTACCATTTCATGAGCAGATTTCCATCTTTTCAGCTGTATTCCCATTCATGTGTCCTTTATGTAAACGAGTTGAGGCTTCACATGATCATATTTTGTTACTCTGTCCCCTGGCAGTGTCGATCTGGTGCTTCTTCGGAAATTCGTTTCTATCTAGGAGGGGAAAAGCTAATACAATTAAACTCCAACTAATGAAATGGTTGATTAGTGTGAAAGGTAAGACGATGGATGAAACCTACGTAGCCATCTTACCAGGAGTAATTACATGGAACATATGGAAAGCCTACTCGAACTCGATCTGGAATGAAGAACAACCGGACAAGGAGGGGATAATTAAACAAATACATAAGTTCATGTTATCATGGTGCTCTGTAAATGATAATCTGAGGGGTTATGAAAGATTGAAACAGATCGATCGGGTGGTTACCTTTAAATTTCAAGTTATCTAAACCCAAAATTTCTCATTGGAAGAAGTCGACGTACAACAACGTAAAATTGAACTGGGCGGTGTTCAGGCAGTATGGAAAGTCGGCTGCCGGTTTCCTTCTACGAGATCATTCTGGAGCGATGGTGGCGGCTGAAGGATTCCCGTTGAGTGGATCGTCTTGGAGAGATGAACATTTGTTGAATCAGGCGGTGCTTTGGTCGGAAACTCTTGGGTTTCCTAATTTGGAAGTAGATGTGTCCCTTTTGTCTAGAGGGGAGTGGGATCTAACAATGTTGGCGCAAGGGAGAGGGGGAATTTCTTTTGTGGATGCTTCGGCCCAATCAAATAAGGCGGCTCATGTGGTAGCTTCATTGGGCTACAACCAGGTTTTTAATTGGAGAAGGGGTATGGTTATACCCAGGGAGCTTTTAGGAGCAATTAATTTGGACATTTTTTCGAGACCATATATTGGTTGATTTGTTGGTCTTTTGCTCGACATGTATTTTCTGCTGAGCTTTGAACTTAGTTTCGTTTATTTAGGAGAGGCTTGGTTTGACACCCTTCTCCTTCTGTATTTCGCTTCGTTTCTTAATAAATTTATGGCAGCTGACCCCCGGCATCTCCCCACTGATTTTGATGGTTTGCCTTTCGGGATAAAAAACAAATCTTAAACTATAACTTAATTACACTTTTCCGGATGTATGGAAAGTATTATAAACGTATTTTTACATATTGATGATTTTTTTAGTTGATACTTCTTTGGAATTTGCATCGATATAGATATCATTGGCATCAAATTAAATGAATTTGCATTTTAGTTTGGAATCATGCATCAATATAGACAATATTCATATTGCACCATCTCAAAGAGAAAAGAGATCTGAATTAATGTTGTATTGTATTCTCCAAAAATAATTTTGATCACTCTAGAGTTACTTCAACTTCTCAAACTTTCTAGTTTTCCTAATTATGTGGGATGCTCCTAACTAGGCGTGTTCAAATAACATTCTTAAAATCTAGCAAAACAAAACAACTGAATTCAGACAAATTAAATTAGTTGTAAAGGGGAATTAAAATGGAACATAAATAAAATTCAATTTTGGCTCAAAAATTGGATGTAACCTTATTTATGAAAAATATATTCAGCTAGATCTCTATATATACATGCATGTATATAGCTAGGATCGATGATACTAAACAAAACCAAAGTTTGGAATTGTTAAAATAAAAACTGTAACACACCTTGTACTCCGCAGCGGTCTCATACCCGAGAACAACATCGGTCAAAGTTCCTGGAAGTCAACGTTATATTAAGGAGAAAATATATAAGAACAAACGAATGTTGTTGATCGATTCTTCATTAATGGCTATGAATTGAAGAAGATGATTGGAATTGTTTTAATTAATATATAATACAATATCTTACATACCATTTTTATTAGGAAGTTTAACTGAGGCAATACTTGCACCAAAGTTTGTTACTTTGATGGAGAAATTTCCGCTCTTGATCTCATAGAACTGAATATGATCATCTCCATCAGTGGCTGACCCAGAAACTGCAGAACAAATGAAACACAACAAAAGTATTGATGAGGCTGAAACCTTTGACATACTTTGATTTCTTTAATTGAGCGACTCACAAATCATAAATGGTAACAAGTCTCCTTTTATACAAAAAAGGCATGTCTTTGGGTTAAAATGGTTGACTGTGAGGGACGTTTTCTGATTTAAAAATTAGTTATTTTGAGAATCTTCTTTAATTATTTTTGAAAAAATTCCACTTTTGGTCCCGTGACTGTTATACCACTTTCACATTTAGTCCCTTACTTTCAGATTGTCCACATTTAGTCCGTGACCATTGTCCCATCACCACCCCTCGTCCTTCCGGCCAAAATTCCAGCAAATTTAATGCAGATTTTAGGTATGAAAAACCAAATTTAAATGAAAGACTCATATCAAAAACCCATCCTTATATAAAATTTAATGCAAAGACTGATTCCGAGACTGATAAGTGGACTAAATTTGCTGGAATTTTGGCCAGAAGAACGAGGGGTGGTGAGGGATAATGGTAATGGACTAAATGTGGACAATCTGAAAAGTAAGAGACTAAATGTGGAATTGGTATAATAGTCATGGGACCAAAAGTGGAATTTTTTCATTTGGAATTATAATGATTTCAAAATTAATTATTCTGCCACGTTTATAAAAAAAAGTGAAGTTGTATGCTGTTTGAAATTAATTTACAAAGACAAATAATAACATAAAAATCCCTATGAAAAATATTACTACGTATATAGCTAGGATTAATTACAAATTTGCGGATATGAGGAAAAAAACTAATTCGGACCAAGAGAGAATATTTTAACCAAAAGTGTCATTAATGTACAAAATGTACACTTACAAACTCAATTCCTCATTACATTTCATTAAAGATATTGACTTTTTCACTTGTAGAAATACCGATCTTAATCGATTCGAAAAACAGCACGATATGATTTTTCGTGAACGTTTTAACCCAAAGAGTCATCAATTAATGTGGAAATATGTATCATATTGTTAGAATTTTATAAATCATAATACCTATATTTTATCATTCAATTCTATTGTCATGATATACTATCCATATGAATTACCACGTACGCAATTACGTATATTTTATACAATTCCATATGAATCATTGTTTTATACGTAGTATGTGATTTGATTTGACTTATTTGATTTGTGTGATCGTAAAATTTTTCATTATTGTAAAATGTTAACTGGATTTCAGCTATCTTAATGCCAATAGGTACAACCATACAACTCTATTGATTACAAGGAAATTCTAAAATCTCTTGAGTTCAATTGTATATGAATAATTTTTATTGTACATAAAATTTGTATACAAATTATATATTGTCTTGTGTTCATATGCATTTTGACATAATTTTTTCCAAACAAATTGTCTGTATACATAGACAAATAGAAATATTGTATCAATTTATGTACTAAGTTTGTGTAAAAATGTAATTTTCCATTCCACATAGTCAAAAACTTTTGGTGAAAATATTCAATTAAAAAAGTCTAAAAGAATAATGAGAACCAGAGACCTATAGTACATTGGGACAATTTGTACGTCAATTAAAAGCCACTTTTTACGTTTTCAAATAAACAAATGTTGTGTTCATATACGTACTGTACTGATAACTTTAACTTTTTTGGAGAGATAATTATCTTAATCATCGTGTATTTGTTATGTTTACTCAGAAAGAGTTGTCTTTCTCTTAGGGGTAAGACTTTATTCTTATTTTAATTATATAAGATTAGAAGTTTTAAATGCAAACTTATTTGCAATGATATATTAATTAATTGAATAATAGTAGCTAATACTATACCAATAATATATAGCACGTGTATATATACCTTAATTACACAATCAACACTATAAATGTTATTACCATAACAAGACATAGTACACAAGCAACATTATTATACAATTAGTATTTTACTCCGTATTTTACAACATTATTATACAATTAGTATTCTATAATAATAGTCACTATTATAATAATGATATACTCCGTATATGTGAATGAACGTAACAAACTGACAACAAAAATAAAAAAAAAGTTGGCTGTCTCATTATAGTTCGAACCATTTTCCACCGCATGCAGAAGAGATCGAGTCGATGATGGCGATTTGGTGAGAATGGAATAACTTAATTGACGGGTCGTGTTTGCTACGGAGTTTAAGGTTTTTTAATCGAACCATTAGTTATTCCTATCCAGTTTTGGACCTACGAGCGATATACTAAAGATGTGTGTCGTAGAGATGTCCATGTTGCGTTGAATGTGTGGACATACTAATTTGGTTTTATTTCTAAGACATACAATAAATTATACTTACTTAAAATAAGAATTACGATCTATAATAAAACTTTGATAAATTACCCTAAATAGGACAATAAACATTTTGTATATTCCAAAATAAGACTATCATATTTTCATTCTCTACATAGAAGTAATTACTGCCATGTGTTTGTGATATCAGACTTTAAACATGACAATATTTCCCAAATATGGCAGTAATTACTCTTATTTAGAGAATAAAAATATGACAACTCTATTTTGTAATTCTCAAACATTTTTACTCTTATATTTCCGGAATTCTCCCAACTATCTAGTAAATGTTATTTGAATTACATATTTAATTTGAACAAAAGTAACAACACTAGTACGTATCACAAAAACAACAATGTGAAGTGCAATCATCAATGATTGCTTTATAATCAATATTTTCCAAGATCTCATGTTCAATGATTAAAATTGTTAGTCCATTAAATTTTTTTGAGACATAGTGGGTTGCAGATAATTAGAATGAGGTTTGAGAATCGCTGAATCGGGGGTGCTGACAACTCAAAGACAATAGTGTAAATTGATAATTTTGTACAACAACAACAACAACAATATTCAAACCTTAATCCCAAAAGAATTTGGGATCGACTAACATAAATTGATAATTTTGTGCTTAAAAGAATTTATGACTCCACTTCATTGTTCTTTTGTTTTTGTTTTTGTTATGTTTGTTCAATTCTTTCATGTGCATTAGTGTTCCGCTATGATTTGTCTCCTTCAATGTTAGACTGTCACTGTAGGGAGTTTTTGTGATGTCCATGCCGCTTCACTTGATTAATTAGGGACTTTTATCTGCCTTCTCTTGGGCTGTGTATAGAATGATTGACAGGTTCAGACATAAACAATAACAATTCTATACTATCGCTAAACTGAAAAAAGGAATTACGAAGTAATTAAGGTGGTATTATGTATTTCATATATATTCAAAAACGGAACATGGGGACAAATGCAATAATATAGTATAGAGTATAAAATCCCAAAGTCAAATGTAAGGTAAGATCATAACTCGATGATTAACAACAAACTTATTCGAGAATGTATATTGTATATCATCATTTATTTAACTTCTTTCCATACTAGCACTGCAAGTTGGTAGAGAAAGAAAGAGATATTGTTTGAGAATAGGGTGTTTCCTTTGTGATAATAGAGGAGGGGAAATTCTTATGATTCACAGCATCAGGGAAGCCCTGGGTCTCCAAGCACACTCCAGCATAGGGCTGGTACTGGACTCCACCCTTCCCTGTCCTGTTCACCACATTGTTGGCTGTATAGAGCTGAAGTCCTGGCGCATTTGAGCTGAGCTCCATCGTTATCCCAGACTTTTCATCGCACAAAACAGCTACTTTGTTCATCCTATATTTGTCATGGTCGTTGTAGGCATCCAGTACATAGTAGGTATCGAAACCTTTTTGCTTCTTAGAATTAACTGGCATGGGAAGTTGTTTAAGCTTTTCACCAATGGGACTGGGTTTAAGGAAGTTGTAGGTTTTGTTGTGGATTATTGATGTAATTTCACCGGTTGCCAAGAGATTACTGTCCATAGCTGCGATATTAGAGGCGAACAGCTGAAGCTTTTGGGAAGAAATATTGCCACTGTTATGGCCTTGAAGGTTCCAGTATGCGTGTGTAGACATGCTAATTGGAGTTGGCTTGTTCTCAGTGATTGCCTTCATCTCTATACGTAAGGTGTAATTGTCGTATATGGTATATGTAACATTCGCTGTAACATTCCCAGGATAACCTACATACACGCATTTCACTTTAAGATGTTAGCCACCAAAACAAGATCCACTCTCCACTTATTTTCCGATCATATGAACTGCAATATTTTGATTGGTCCATGTAGACAGGTATATAACCTTATGAGTACCCTAGAATCTACCAAACAAAAAATAATTACACGTCCATAGTACGTATTACCTTAGTAAGTTTTAGTGACGATAATTGTATTCAAAATTTACATCATATATAGTTACTACATCCATTATAGTAACTTTGAACACAATTATATTCAGCAAGTCGCATTTTTATCCATTACTTTTGTCGAAGCAATATTAGAATGAGTCACCTTGATCGCCATCAGGGCTATAGAGCGTGAAGGTAATGCACGGGTTTTTACTATCCGGCTTGTGCTCTGCCACCTCCCAAGGAACTCTTCCAAATCCCTTGCTGCCCCCTACATTCAATTATTGAAGTTGCATGCATGACTTCACATACTACTAATACACAAGCATAATAGCTATAGAAAAATATGAAATTTCTTTTCTATACATCATTTGCATATGTTTTTATCGCTACAAAAAAACAGTGATTTTGTCACGGATTTTTGTACACAGATAATTCTTGTAACTAGTCTAAATGCATTTGAAAAATATAATCTCTTTTGAAAAGGAAAATCAAATCTAATTAAGCTTAGTACATTACAAAAATACTCGTAATATATTAAAAAAGACCCAAATTTCAATTTTATTTAAATTATTAGAATAAAAAAATCATGTAAATTAAAAAAAATCTAAAAAAATATTTGTAAGGATCTATCAATCCAATATATCACCCTGATCGACTACGTGAGAGAGGTAATTAAGTTGAGTAGTGAGTACCGTTAATGGAGTTGTTGCCGCTGTTACGATCAAGGTTGTATTTGATTCCATTTAAACTGAACTGAGCATCACGAATCCTGTTGGCAATCCTTCCGATCACGGCTCCGAAGTTTTTGTCATTAATCTGCCATTTATCGTTTCCTCAAATTTACTTTAACATTTGTTGTTTCAGAAATGGAAGAATCAAGCCAATAATCTCAAACTTCATTTACAAAATGTACAGGAAAGGAAATGCGGGCGTAACACGTAAATATAAAAAAATAATGAAAAGCAAACAAAAGTATATGACCTAATACAAATCAAGGGAACAGATCAAATAAAAAGAGGTTCTCACGTGCAAAGTGCGAACGATAATTGCACGTTTTCCTTACCGCGTATCACTTTTGCGTGTTTCTGTTGCACTTTTTCGCAATGACAAAAAACTTCGTTTTAATTACAAAATTGTCACCGCATTTTTGATCAAATTTAGTTCACTTTTGATACATTTTGAGCCATTAGATCTGGAAATGAATACACGAGATTAATTCTCACTTTGAATGGGAAGACTTCTTTGTATTTGAACCCTCCCTTATAAATCAATAGGTCTAAACCAAATCAATCAACAAGTAAATAAATAATAATGAAAAATACTATTTAAAGAAAAAAGAATACCACCGATAGATGTACTTGCTTAGTTCAATTTTATTTGTCTTACTTTCTTTGGGAAAAAATATGTGCTACATTTCTCTTTTTGAAAAAAAATATTTAGAGCCCGTTTGGTAGCACGAAAATCGGCTGTTTTGGCTGATTCTGCTGAAATTTATGAAGTTCTGGTTGAAGTGGTTGTTTTGGCTGATTCTGCTGATTCAACAAAAAAAAAATTAAAAAATATATTTTATTAATAAATTAAAGAAAAAATTACATGTAAAAATAGCTAAAATGGTCCTCTGCAGTAACTTCAGCCAATACAGCCAGAAAAGTAACTTCAACCTTACTTTTTCTGCTCATTACACAATTTAGCACACGAAAGTAAAAGTTACGTGTTTGGTGAAAAAGCTGGCTGATAAGCCTGATAAGCCGAAAAAAGAGGTCTCCTACGATATTTGTACTTTATTACTCCCTCCGGTTCTTATTAAACTTTACAGTTTGACTTCACACATATTAAGGAAATAAATTTGACTTTACTGTAGAGTGTACTATTTGGCACTGTTTGACGCTGTTCGTCACTGTTTGACACTGTTTTGCACTGTTTAGTGTAGATTTGTTTGCCAAATAAGGCAAATAAGGAAGTGTAAAATTTAATATGGGACGACCCAAAAAGGAAAGTGTAAAGTTAATTAAGGACGGGAGGTAGTATTACCAATTAGGATAGTCAAAAGGTACCTAATACTCGTCAAACGGTAACGCACCTCGTAGAATAGTTAAAAAGACTAACTTATTAGAATAGTAACGCACCTCGTACTCATCAACTGTGTCGTACCCGAGAATAACATCTGTGGTAGTTCCTGGAAGTCAAAAAACAAAATCAAACACCACAAACGTTGTTGATCGATTCCAAATCGGCAACGAACAAGCTGATTATATTACTTTTCCAAGACTAAGATAATTGTAATTAATTAAAAGAATAAGGAGAAACTTAATTAAAAACGCTCTCCAATTTGATTCAACGGAGGAAAACTTATGAATCATTAATTACAAAGAGTGCCAAATATAAAGGATGATAGCCCCCATCCTTGAAGAATGAAGACCAGAACTAGCTTAGCCAAGAGGCCCAAGAGGATGCAAATTCGATTTGGCGAGTGAGTTCTGGCTCAAATGTTTGCGGAAGTTCTATGCACTTTTACATAGTAACTTCTCATTACAGTTTTCGGGATTCTAATGCGAAATTTATCCCTTTTTGCACCTCCCCCCACTACTTGTGCAACGCCCCTGGCAAAAATGTCACATAATGATATACGCGGAATTTATATTACATACCATTTTTATTAGGAAGTTTAACTGAGACGATACTAGCAGCAAAGTTTGTTAGTATGACGGAGATTTTTCCGCTCTTGATCTCATAGAACTTGAGATTAACCTCTGACTCAGAAACTGCAAAACAAGTAAAATACAAGAACAATATTATTGAGACTGAAACCTTTGACATGTTTTCTACCTATGCTTCATAAATCACAATAAACCTCCTTTTAAACAAAAGTTGCATTGGATGGGTTAAATTAGAAAATTGGGATCCAAAAAATCTGGTGATTTAATAATCCTTCCATTTAAAAAGTAAAAAGTCCTTTTTCACCCAGCAAGTATTTGTTTTCAACAACTTTGACTATATATTTTCATTAGAATGTTCTTAGAATAATGACTGGGGACACATTATTTGTGAAAATTGAAAGTAGAATTGAATGTCTGGATGGAATAAAATTTCGAATAGATGAAAAAGTGACACAAGTTTCTTTTTTAATAGAATTATTAATTATAAGATAATTATATGGAGATGGAATTGAAATTAAAAGGAGAGTTAAATTGGATATGTAGCAATACCGAATTCGATCCATGTTTAATTTCCGAATTTAATAGAAGCAAAGCATATGTCGAAGAGTTTAATTTGGTGCTGAATATAGATACTTATCTTGTATTGCTTGGTCCAAAAGGTGGAATCTCCCACCCCAGGAGCCCCCATACCCCGTTCCGACAGGATTTTTGGGAGGATGTTAATCACGGTGACTTAATCAGCCCAATGATGGTAGGCCTTTTTCCCGTGCGCACCGGAGGTCCAGCCTTATTTCAGGTTCTGTGACCTCCACATGGCCGCTGCGGGTTTCGAACCTTGGTCACTTGGTCCAAATTTCCCACCACTGAACCAACTGAGATACCCGTGCGGGTACTTGTATTAAGTTAGGAATTGGAACTTTTATTACGCGTGTAATAATTATCGTTATTTTTGTTATATTCGGTTAGGAAATATAAATATATTTTGCCAAAGCATTCATACTATCATATATCACAAGACAACTTGAATATGCTTCCATTCCATATGAGTGTAGCAACATTTTTAAGTTTATCATAGATCTCGTAATTTTGTCTAATTACTTCAGCGGTGCAATTGAATTTGGATTTAACATAAGAAACGCTATATGCGAAAATTAACAAATCATGTCCGCCTATTTTATCCTTACGCCAACATTTTTCTCTGTAAAGGCAATTGGAGCTCACTTTTTTGGGTATACCTAGATGGCTAGATTCCTGTTCCTCCTAAACTAGTATGGAGTATTAAACTGTCGCGTTGCATAGAATATAACATAGGAAAATTCTGTGTAAGTGTAGTTTTGACTTTTTCTCTGTCATTGAACAAGATAAGAAATTAGTACCTCTTTAACATTCATATCTTCCATCTTTAAAAATAGGTGAGATTATAAAATATATGGATGATAGGATAGAAAGATGATGAAATAGTGTGGTGGAATGAAGGATAAATCAATAAAAAGTAGTTGTAATTGTGCACACATTCAAAATTATTTACAAAATTATTGGGGGTATGATGGGAAGATTTAAAAATAGAAAGATTATGTAGTTATGATTCAAAAAGGAAAATGGGAAGATATGAATGTTGAGGAGGAATATTATAAAAATAAATTATCAATAAAATCATGCTCCCTTCCCGTGCTTTCATTTTTATTTATTCCAAAAATAAGAAAATTTTCATAATTTAGATTATATTTCTTTTATTTGCTGATCATATGATTTTATTCATCTTTTCATCTTTTTTATTTTTTGTGAACCATACCAACTATTTCCTCTTTTAGGGGATTACAATTGTGAAAAGTAATTTCTGTAAAACTTAATACTTCTAATGTTTTGTGACGGAGAGTTGGGACGAGGCCGAGGGCACCCCGAGTCCTGACACCCATCACCCATCTATATTTTAGCGGATGTTTTGTGACGGAGAGTTGGGACAAGGCCGAGGGCACCCCGACACCCATCACCCGTCTATATTTTAGCGGGATAGGAATATCTCATCCATCCCCTACTCCGCTCCGCTTTGCCCCAAACCACGCCCAATCTTTCCAACACAAGGCAGGTGTCCGCGGGGCCTGCTCCCTTTACCGTACTTAATTGTAGGAACTCAAAGTTGTAATCATTAAATTATACTCAGTAATTGATAGTTCAAATGTTATAAAGCTTAAAACTATTATAACTCCGTCAATTAGTCCGTTATTTACTGAGTGATTGATTTATTATTCAAAAAAGGTAAAACAATTATGTCTTGGTGTTATAGGTGTTTTACTGTCTTGGCCCTTAGAGCGTCATTATGATAATAGACTTTTCTCGTGCATCAAAATTTCATGTACAAACATTTTGCGTTTAAAGAATATATCAAGAAATAATGGAATCACTGTTGAAGTTTCACTAGGTAATATAAAAATCTAATGATTTTTTTCTTAATTAGATGAAAGAATAAATTGAATTTGATTCTTACAAATTAGTTGTTGGGGTGTATATATTAGTTTTCCAACGAGATATACAACACTTAAACTGAATAAAATACAACAAGATAGATATGATCCAATTGAATACTAAGTTTATTTGAAGTCAATCTATTTACATTTTTGAATTCTAGTGTAATACGTACATTAGTACATACACATCCTTTAACATTTGATAAAGCTAGCAAGGCTTAATATGAGTTTTAAAACTTGGTGTGATATGATCTTTCTAAAGATATATACTCCAACAAACGCTTAAAAACGGAATAAAATACAATAATATATGATCAAATCGAATACTACGCCTTTTTGGAGTCAACTTGGTGTTACTTTTAAATTCATTGTATTACATCCTTGTCCTTTGATATTTGGTAAATCACGTCTATGGAAGAGTTTTCGAACAATATAAGAAAGTCTTAAGAGAGAACAAAGTAAAGTTGGATACGATCAAATTAAATATTTACTAAAGTTTTTATTGTACGTAAATAGAGCCTATTTGAACTAAATAGAGGCAATTTAGAGTACGTAAATAGAATTTTGTATTTGAATTTTGGCGTAAAAATTACCTAGCCCAAAATAATTTATACCTGAAGTCTGACTACGATCAGAGGTGGATCCACTAAGGGGTCTCATGGGCTCCCGGGACACCGTGCACCTCGAAAAAATATCTATATATTATATATTATATAAAATTAATTATTGAATGTATATTTATAAAAAACGACATTATAATCAAAAGAATGGAATAGTGTAGCGGTGATGGGTGTTTATGTCAAATATGAGGTTGTGGGTTCAAAACTTGGCCTTTTCTTTTTATTTCTTTTTTCAGTGCTGGGCTTGAACACTGTATATGAATTTCCAACAAAAACTTCAACTTGGTTCATTAAGCTCATTGGTTGAGTATGTCCTTTTTTGTACAAATGTCTAGAGCTCAAATCCCAGCTCCACCTTTCTTATTTTTTTGCTACTTTTCTCCAATTTACTCCTTATTTTCTTTGAAGGAAATTTCATTTTTGTTATTCCAACTTGAATGTTGGATAATTGATACACATATTGTATGAAAAGGTGAGATTGAACTTAGTAAATGGAGAAGAAGGATGAATAGTAGAAATGATATGAGTTGTATGAGTTGTGTGTCATCTTTACAAACCTCCTATAAGGATTAAGGAGTATAAAAAACTAATCTAGAACACCTGAATAATAATAATGATGTACAATGATATGAATGATATCCGCTAAACGTGTGTGGGCCGCTGTCCAGGCCCAACAGTCGGCAGGCCGGGGGATCGGGGTCCATATAATTCATCATTGAACTTTTATTTTCTTCATTTCTTCACGCTAAATGTATCTAAATAACATCGAATCTACCATAAAATACAAAATACACGCATAAGACTGCACTAATACAAATTAACGACAAATAATAAAAATATGTTCAAAAGTACAACTTTAATAACTAAAATTATCGGGATAATGGTCAGATAGGGCCTCGAATTTGGAAAAACATGTCAAACAAGGCCATATTTAGGATGCTCTGTCCGACTGACGCCATTTGGGGCGGTTCCCCCTGGAATTTTTTGATGATTTTTTTTGAGAATCTTATTCATTAAGTCCAGTTTACTCATATCAAATTTGAACTAAAACTTCAATCGGGAAGGCATTCAAATGAATTCTTGAAGATAACTGCTCTTTTAAATGCGCAGTTATCTTCAAGAATTCATTTGTATGCTTTCCCGATTGAAGTTTTAGTTCGAATTTGATATGAGTAAACTAGACTAAATGAATAAGATTCTAAAAAAATTTCATCAAAAAGTTCCACCGGGAACCGCCCCAAATGGCGTCGGCCGGACAGAGCATCCTAAATATGGTCTTATTTGACATTTTTTTTCAAGTTTGAGGCCCTATCTGACCCTTATCCCAAATTTATCAATAAACTAAGCCTAAAAAGTGTGTAAAATATAAGCACATCAGTCACCCTATTTTTTTCTATGCTGCTTTTCTTTGCATATTTTTTTTTTAATGTTAAATTAAATTAATAAATTCATGTATTTATAAATGTTATTTTCAATTTTATACGATTTAGGATGAAAAGATATTTTGATGTTGTACCCAAATTTAAAGAAATCTAGAGTACCGGGAGTAGTTCAGGTGTTAATTCAAATGATTCTCCATTAGTAAATGAAGAATTGGATCAATTTTTTTATTAGTTTTATATTTGTATTAATTAGAGATTAGAGATATAAAAGGGTAGGGATCACGCGGCTCCGACTTTCTGGGTCCGCCACTAACTAATATATAGTCTATATATAGAACTTTATACTATTTTTTCAATGAGATAACAAACATTTAAAACAAACACTGAAACACGTATACAACAAGATATATATGATCTAATCGAATAATAGTCTATTTTGAAGTCAACTTGGCATTGTTTTTGAATTTAAATGTAATACGAACTAATCTTTTGATAGCAATCATTGGTCACTACGAAACACATAATGGATTGTTGAGAAACTCGGTTAGAAGATACTCTAAAGGGGCAAGCCTCGTGTGGGAAAGATTGGGCATGGTTTGGGGTAGAGAGAGCGAAGAAGAGGATTGATGAGATATAGATGGGTGACGCCGTGAAGGGGTGATACTCAGAACAATTTCATCTGTTTCAGCTTTACCGGTTCGATTTTTAGTCGATCGGTAAAATAGGTGAAACCAAGAATTGTACTGCACAATTTGAGCCGATTTAGGTCGACTTTAACACCTTTCATTCGATTTTTGTCGGTTCAATCGATTTTGACTGAAGAGCATAAACCGTAAGTCAACCCGCTAAGGGGTTGGTTGATTTTCGTCGTTTCAATTTCATTTGGTTCGGTTTTGGTCAATTCAATGTCGATCGGTTTCATTTATTCAGTTTGATGTTCACCTGGCCCCTATATGTATAGGAATGATCCTATATCCAACCGGAGGGACAGGATCCTCTGCCCTACCGCCGTCGTTTGGGGAGATTCCTGGTGGAATTTTTTGATGAAATTTTTGTAAATGTTTCTCATCAAGTCTAGTTTATCAACAAAAAGTTTCAGCTACAAATTCGATCAGAAAGACAGTCAAACAATTCTTGGAAGATAATTGCGCCAAATTAAACATATAAAACACAGTTATTTTCAAAATTTTATTTGAATGTCTTCCCGATCGAATTTTTAGCTGAAATTTTTGTGGATAAACTAGACTTGATGGGGAACATGCCCAAAATATTTCATCAAAATATTCCACTGGGAACCATCCCAAACGGCGGCGGTCGGGCGGAGGATCATGTCCCTCTGGCTAGATATAGGATCTTTTCCGTACACACACACACACACACACAAATATTAGTAGTTACCCTAAGTAGGACAAAATGGAAACACAATTGCACAAATAGGAGTAAAACCTAATTTTTTTACAAATATGATTAAACATTAATTGTCTGCCCTTACTACCCCTGATCTAATTAATTATTTGCTCCCTAGTTTCCTTAGACAACCGGGGCAGTCCGTTGGTGGTGGGGGCAATACGACGGTGGCATGGCAGTCTGACGGTGGCCAGAGGCGGAGCTCTGACGAGTCTCCCGACATGAAACTGGAATAAAAAACATTCTTAAATTTTTTGCTGGATTTCGATGACGGAGGTGGTGGCCGGAGGCAAGCAGGGCAGCTAGGCGATGGTTGGTGGCCAGCAGAGGTGGCCGGAGGCCGATGGTGGCGGCTGGGCTGGGCAGTCCAAAATGCTATAGATGTATATATATTTGTCCCCACACATGATTAGTGCTTTTAAGGAATTAAAAATAATGGAGTCGATTTTTAGTCATGTTTTACTACTATATATTTAGGTCATTTACTCTATAAATATATGTTTATGTATTTATTTTTTACATAGTTAATGAATTACTATGTAACATATTATAAGCATATTACTAATAACTAACTAATGTAACATCCGGCACATTCCCCAGTAATCTCATGTTAATACTATCGTATGAATTAAAATAATATGATATCATTAATTGAAAAAAAGTTCATAGTATGCAAATAAAAATAAAAGTAGAGAAAAGTGAAAATATTAATTTGCTACATGTAATTCATGTGATTTAAAAAGATTACACAATTTTAAAGACATCTTTGTGCACAACATTTGTTATATATTGCGTCCTTCTCCACCCAACAACATTTTGAATTGGTTTATACTATTGACTCTTGAAACGGTCACATAGAGTTGTTCATGCGTGAATACCCTTTTTTTAAATATTGTCCAACATTTCTAGTGTTTGCCCCTGACTTTTGTTGATGGTCATAGCAAAACATACTAAAACTGGAAATTACTGATTCAATTGAATTGAACTCAAAAGCATAAACTGTAAATCGTACCGTTGAGGGGTTGATTGATTTTAGTCGTTTCGGTTTCATTTGATTCGGTATTGGTCGGTTCATTTTCGACCGGTTTTGATTATTTAATTTTTGTGTTTACCCCTATATATACATACACATATAAATATATGTTTGTGTATATATAATTTACATAGTTAATGTGTTAACATATTATATCATAGTACTAATAACTAATAGCCAATAGTAAACTACAAGCCCATTTGATGACCCCATTTTTTGGCTTATTAGGCAACATTTTCATCAAACACGTAACTTTTGACTTGACACGCTTAGTTGTGCAATAATCAAAATAATTAAGGTTGTAGTTATTCATGTGGCTAGTTTGACTGTAGTTGTTGTAAAAGACCATTTTAGCTATTTTTCATAAAATGTTCCCTTAATTTATTAATAAAATATATTTTAAATATAATATTTTCATGATTCAACAAAATCAGTCAACACAATCACTTTAGTAAAAAAAAGGAAAATGGAAACTAATAATCCAACCTTTTAGCGTTTTTTTACAATTGCCCTGTCTTTTGATTATTCATGAATAATCCAACCTTTGCACCCCATCTTCATTCACTGGTCCCTGGCCGATTTATGACATGTTATTCCAATTTATTTTCTTATCTTTGTAAAACGTTATGCCATAATTCCCACCTTATGATCACATAATGTTTTGCAAAGATGAGAAAATAACTTGGAATAATAGGTCATAAACCGGCCAGGGACCAGTGAATGAAGATGAGGTGCAAAGGTTGGATTATTCATGAATAATCAAAAGGTGGGACTGATATAAAAATACCGCTAAAAGGTTGGATTATTAGTTTCCATTTTCCCTAAAAAATCACCAAAATCAACTAATTCACTTTCCCTTTTTGGCAACGAATTTGTGGTTCACAACATTTCTCTCTCCTCTGCACAACTCTCCATCACACAATTCTCACTTTCTTAATCACCGTGCCACTTTAATTTGGAAGAACATTTAGGGACGGAGGGAGTATGAGTAAACTAGACTTAATGAATACTCCGTAAGATTTTCAAAAAAAATCATCAAAAAATTTCACCGGGAACTGCCTTAAATGGCGACGACCGGACAGAACCTCCTATATAAGTGCTTATTTGACCTTTTTTGTCAATATGTGTGCTTATTTGGCCCTATTCCCTAATAATTATTTATATCATACCATATAGATAGTATATGATGATAAAGTTGGCCGATAGTATGTTTATTTATATTTTTACTTTATTTTATTATCTTCTCAATCCTT